TCCTATAGTTAGGGCCACAACCAAAATCCCCTCTCGATTCCTCCAATGAACGAGAGGCCCACAAATTGAGCAATCAAACCTTCCTACAGTTAGGATCGTCTCAAACCTCCCGCTTGGTCAAACCTTTATACAGTTAGGGCCAAAACCAAAATCCCATTTCGATTCCTCCAATGAACGAGAGGTTCACTTTCAAATCGAATGATCAAACTTTCCTACAGTTAGGGTCACCTCAAACTCCCGCTTGGTCAAGCCTTCCTACAGTCAAGGCCAAAACCCCAATTCACTCTCGATAAATGAGAAATTCACCTTTAGTTTGGTAATCAAACCTTCCGACAGTTAGGATTATCCAAATTTTTCAATTCTCGGAGTGGAGATCCCACTCCTGGTTTCACTTTTTCGGATTCTGGGGGTGGAGATCCCACATCGAGTCTCCTTTCCAACTGGAGATAGAATATAAAATTCTTTCTCTTCAGTGTTGGGAGATAGAATATAAAATTCTTCCTCTCCCATTTTGGGTTCGTTTTTGCCCCAAGAGAAGACACCATCCTTCAACTCCAAAAAACGGTTTAGTCTTTCACCGATTGAAAAAGACACCAGAATCCAGTCTGGAGTATTTTATCCCGAAGCCTAAGTAGGGATAAGTCAGCGCTTAACCCGCGTTGCTGGGTGGTTCATTCCTGTAAAAATGATCGAGTCTACGTATTCATCACCGTAGCAACAAAAATCCATGTCTTTTATGCATGGAGAATTTTATCCCGAAACCTAAGTAGGGATAAGTCAATGCCTAACACGCGTTGCCGGTTAGTTCTTAACCGTAAAAAGAACAAAAGCTCACATATTCGACATTGTGGCAAGTCGTTATTCATAACGCCAAAATCCGTGCTTCACACGCACGAGGAATTTTATCCCGAAGCCTAAGTAGGGAAAAGTCAGCACCTAACACGCGTTGCCGGGTAGTCTATTCCCATAAGAAAGACGAAGTCTACGTATTCAATATCGGAACACTAAGAGAGTTAACTCTCTTAGCACAACGTCATATGTGGAACGAACTTAAACAATCCGCATGCAAGCCCGATTCAAACGGTAATCGGTAAAGGAACGTCAAATCCATTGAAGGCTGAGGATTTGCCAAAAATCCTAAGTCTACGTCTGATACACGTTGCTGTTTAGTCTTTTCACAGAAGAAAGATGAAGTCTACGTATTCAATATCATAGCACTAAAAGAGTTAAGTATTTTAGCGTAACGTTACATGCGGAACGGACTTAAACAATCAGCATGCTAGCCCGACTCAAACGGTAGTCGATAAAGGCTCATCAAACCCGTTGATGGCTGAGAATTTGCCAAAAATTCTATAAATGCAAGTCATTGACGTATCAGCTTCATTAGTTGGTCTCATGACTTGATCATCCAATGACTTCTGGATAAGATCCATACATGCAGATGAATCAGCTTTAATAGTTGGTCCTGCAGCCTAATATTTGGGATCACCACGCTCCAATGTCTTAAGAGCTTAAACTGTGTAGACTCCAGCAAACGTACAAGTATAAACTAAGTTAACGCCGCACAACGTGTTACAGCAAATGTTAACGCCGGTCGATGCACTATGATAAAGGTCGATGCCGGTCAGCGCATCAGCAATCTCGCCAAACTAAGGCAAATGATGATTTCAGGGAGTTCAATCGGATTCAGATATAAATTTCTGACGAAGATGATCAGTTCAAAGTCAACTCAATGACACGAGCTAAGTTCAGAAACTTACATACCAATCTCAGTTCAAGATTTCGACAATGGTCAGATGATAAACGCAGCGCCGGAAGAACTTCATCTATTCGACGAAACAATGAATAGATTGAAAGCTAAAGAAATTAAGAATTGAGGTAGTTCAAGGTCACTCTACGAAATTACGGAGATGGCCTATCTTATCCAAAGCATTCCAGACTCCTCTATAAAAGAATGAGTCTGAAATACTTTGGAGGAGGTATCTGTAGGCGTCTAAAAATACCTATGGGTGTCCGCATACAGCTCGAGATGGAGAGAAGACGATGAACGTCGTTATCCGAGTCTAAGAGGATTATCTGTCGTCGACAAGCGCATGAAGCGAAACGACGAACCAAGTGGCACGCGCGCATCAATCAACACGTGCGCGTCAATCAGTTCGCGAGCGTCAATCAACACGTGCGCATCAATCAACGCGTGCATGTCAATCTGTTCACGCGTCAATCAGTTCGTGCGCGTCGGTCAACACGCGTGCATCAATCAACACGCGCGTATATCAACCAACGCGCGTTCGATAGTCAATCCCGCGTCGAAGCGTACAAGTTCGTGCATGTTTTACAAAATAGATGAGTTTTCATAAATGGAAAATGATATTCAAGAAATTCTTTCTTTAACATGTTTATTTACATGTTTAGAAACTTCCCTCAAAATTTTACTATTTTTGAAGTTGATTTACTGTACCTAATTGATTTTCTGTTTCGACTCCCGTTCGGTTTTTTGACAGTTTTTCTTAGGATTTTTTGGTTCCTGAGCATCCAAACTGATCTGATATCATCCTCAAACGTTGTTAATTAGTTATTAACTGAATATATGGAGGAATCATTCATTCTCATCCTAAAACCCGCATCCGGAGCCCTATAAATACAAGCCTAGGGCCTCCTTTCACCGAGGGCGATTTATTATCAAGAGGAGGAGGTGCTGTCGGATTGAGGAGTCAAAGGAGCACGAATTTCAGCGATGGTTGACAGATCTTGGCGAGTTCTTCGGCATAAAGAATGAGCTATTCGAAGGATCTGAACCCCGTCCGTACGTTCCTTGAGATTAGGATTGGTCTTAATCTCGAGAAGAGCACTGATTTCGCTTGGTCGATTTCAGCGCTTCAAATCAAACACTCCATCAGTGAAGGCGAAGCTCTGCCCAATTTTTAACAACCGGATCTAATCGACGGTCGTCCACGGATAAACCCCGACACAGGCGAAGATACCCACGCAAGCAGAAGACCGATAAACGATCTCCCTGCGTTTGTTTCGACAAGGGTTGTAATTTTTTGTTCATACTTCTAAGGGCACTCAAGAAATGTTTTAAACAAGTTTAAAGAGTTTTAAACAAGGGTTTAAGAGTATTTTAGTGTTTGTTTGGTTTGAAGATTATTTTCACAAGTGGTGGAGATCATCTTCTTGTTTGGGCTCTAATCTCCATCTCTCCATCTTGTCATCTATTGGAGAAGTTTTCTAAACTCAATCTCTAGCTTTATATTTATATACTTGTTTGATTATCATTGTTCTTAAGCTAGATTTTATATTTGAGTTTAAAAAAGACTATCTTTTTTATTTTCATTGTAACGACTGAAGTTATAATGAATACTGCAATGAATACATCAAATTTCGACGCAAACACTAATTAATGGACAAATGAATATTTGTAGTAACTATTTGAAAAAAAAATAGTAACAAACTTGTTTACAGGGAACCGTAACGTTTTTTTTAATAAAACTGATTTTCTGAGTTTTAAACAACAACAGATTAATGAACTAATCTAGTAAACAGGAAAGGGATTTTTTCCCCTGATGAATAGTATCCGATTTTTATTTTTATTTTTATATTGAAATAAATTAAAGCAATTAATTAATGTATAAACAAATGAAGCAATTAGAAGTAATTACTTAACAATTAATCAGCAGGGAATCAAATTTTTTTTTAAATTATAAAAGGAACAGAAGCAAAACAGAGACAGGTTCGGGTGAACAGTAAACCGAACCTGATGAACAGTAATTTTTATAAATTTTTCCCCTCACATTAACACAGAATTAACAGAGAAAAATGTACTAAATAAAAGTAATTAATTTCAGATTTAAATTAACAGCAATAAAATAAATCTATCTTCTAGATTATTGTCAAAAAAGAGAATTAATTAGATTAAATCTGAAATTAAAAGAGTTAGAACACCAGGCCTGAACGGGTGCAGTCGTGATTCACTGCCCTAGAAGATATAGGACCCGCCTATCACCCTGGCGCAGTCGATCCTCTTCCCCCTAGCGGTAAAAGCCCCCGGAAACAGCCGGCCTCCGTACTTGGGCGAGAGCACAGAGCTTCTGCTCAGATGAAGAAGGTTGCCCAAAATAATAATAACACTTAAGTATATAGCAGAGCTTCTGCTCAGATGAAGAAGGTTGCCCAAAATAATAATAACACTTAAGTATATAGTAGCAGAAAAACCCGTGAGAATTATCTCTCTATTATTTTTTTTTAATTTTTCACTCCACTGTTTTCTTTCTTTACCGTGAGATGAGAGGAGAGAGAGTAGGTAGAGAAAATGAATATGTAATTATGAGATGATTAAGAGAGTTTATATAGGGAGAGAAACAGAACGGATAGTGGAGAGGGTTAAGGAGAAATATGGGGTTAGTTAGAGATTTAAGAGGATTAGATTAAGTCAATTTGACTTTTTCAAAAAAAATATCCAACAAAATTTTCTTGGAAAAAATCCTGGCACCTTCACTTTCCCTCGGTTTCCTTTTTATTTTTCGCAAACCAAACACCTGATTGTGAAGGAAAATTTATATTTTTCCCTTGTGTCATTTTTCTAGGGGCTTTTTTCTATAGTTTTTGGACCAATCAAACAGCAAAGGAAAGCTGAATGTTACGTGGTTCTCTTCCAAATACTCAATCGCCAAACAAACCTGTGTACCAGCTTATAGCCAAGTTGGGGCAATGATTAAATAATGCTAGAGTTCAGATTGAAAAGTTACTTCAAGAGTTACTCTATTCTCTGAATGCTGATTAGGGCCGTTTGGATGCAAAAATTGGAGAAGGAAAGCCCGCAAAAGTTCTGATTTTTTCAGAACTTTTGCAGCCTTTCCCCTACTTTCCCCTCCAATTTTTGCAAACAAACGGGCCTTTACTGTAGCGGTCTCGCCTGGTCTTTGAAGGATCCTCAAACGCTTTAGAAGTATGAAACAATTTAATAATGTCATCGGATCAACTTGCATATCTAACCGCTTGCATTAACGGACTCAATTTCAACTGTCATTATCTAATCAATGAACATAATTATATTACAAAATCATACAATCATAACGAAACGATCCCAAATGTTTAAGCCTCAGCATCTAATTTCTCAATCCAAATCACCATAAACATTTCAAATCATCAATGCACCAACTATAAAGATTTCAACTAAATTTCTATTATATATATATCTGCACTATACCAATTACGTACCAACAAGAGGGAACAAAACTAATCCATACTATCAGGCAAACGAATTATTCCTCCGGTGCCTCTGCGCCGTCGCCACCTCCGCCGCCGAGGACGGCAAAGTCTTAAACACACTCTTGAACCCGTCCAACAACTTCCGCCCGATCCCCTTCCCTCTCCTCCCGGACTCAACACAACCACCCCTCGCACCATCGTCACCGACAACCCGAAAGCTCGACGACCCCTTCTCCTCGGACCATCTCAGCTTCCTCCGTAGCCCGTCAAGATCCCTTTCGAGGCTCTCGATGCGGAACGATGTGGCCTGGATAGACGAGCGGAGGTGGGAGGAGTTGCGGAGGATGGCGTCGCGCTGGAGGATGGCGCCGAGGGTGGAGGGGGGCTTGGAGG